AGACAATGGTGTTTTTTTAAACGTTATTTCATCAATTTCATGTTGCTTATTTGGTGTTTTCAGCTTGAAGTAACTCGATATCACGTCAATATAACAGTGTATATAACAACATAGCTGCACACATAGCTAGCTTAGTAACGTTTTTTAACTCATAAAATGTACAACACCATTGTCGTGTGAATGGGCGGACGTCACACGCACAAGTAATTTACGGCCTTACCTGACATCTACCAAGCGTTTTAAAAAATTTAAGTTAACTCGTTGATATCTGTCTAGACGAAATGTCATTAAATAGATAGCGAATTATTTTTTGGGAGGATTTTAAAGAATTAATATCTGGTAGTTTGATGACGTTTAAAGAATTAAATTTTTAATAGTTTGATTGAGGTATTGGAAAGTTGTATATTTCTTTGTTTAATGATGTTATTACGTGAAAGATATCTGAAAAATAACTCAAGTCAACTCTCCATCAATTCTTGGCTATCGGGTTTTTTTTTAATTTCTTGAAATTTCATTTTAAATGTGTAGATTTTTAATTTTAAATTTTAGTCAACACCAAGGTCATGACATGACATATATTGGATTGAAATTTATGAAAAATTGCGTGTTAATGATTCAGAAGTTAATTCGTATAAGGATTGATACATTATTTGATTAATTGAATTGATTGATTGGTTGGTTAGTTGATTGATTGATTGATTGATTGATTGATTGATTGATTGATTGATTGGTTGGTTGGTTGGTTGGTTGGTTGGTTGGTTGGTTGGTTGGTTGGTTGGTTGGTTGGTTGGTTGGTTGGTTGGTTGGTTGGTTGGTTGGTTGGTTGGTTGGTTGGTTGGTTGGTTGGTTGGCTGGTTGGTTGATTAATTGATTGATCGATTGATTGATTGATCGAGTAATGGTTTGATCAATTTTTCTGTCCGTAGTTTAATTGTTTGTGCCTTTTAAATGAGTTTATTTAATAACACGAGAACTATTTCAAAATTTTTTTTCATTAAATTTTTTAAAAATTTTTACCTAATATCACGAAAATAAAACCAAAATGTTCCTTGTTTAAAACCTCGTACATACAATACTAAAGTAGCAATTTGTGAAAAGATATTGAATGTGCAATAATGAATTAACATTTGTAATAATCGTTACGATGTTTATGAATAAATCACTTATTTTTGGCGAATATATGTTTTTTTTTATTAGCTTATAGTTAAATGTCATATTATACATTCTACACGCAATCTCGTCATGATGTAGTGGGCTACTAGTGTAATTTAACTATTAGTTATTTATTTTTTATCCTTGTTTTCTTCACCAAAATTCCTCGAAAAATTCGGTAAAAAATTCCTTCGTGTTGCTTATTTGAGAGTAATATCCATTGAAAATGCCGGTATAGAACTTGTTAGATGTTTTGAACTTGAAAACTTTCGAAATTTTGAAAAAATCCAATTTTTTATTATAATGATTTTTTAAACGGAATGTTTACCAATACGTGAAGATATGTTTGTGTATGTGTGTGAGAGCGTGCGTGTGAATATGTGTGTGTGTGTATGTGTGCGTGTGTGAATGTGTGTGTGAAGAGTGTGTGTGTGTGTCACTCATATAAACGATGTACAATTTTTTATTCAAATGTGTATATGTACAATAATAGTCAACAAAACTTTTATTTTGAAATTTTATACTTATTGCAATTTTGCAACAGTTAAATGTCATCAAAGGTTTAAAGGTTTATTGTTATCGAGGGCCATATTCTAATCATTGTAGGACTCTACTTTTTTTTTAATTATTTTAATTTTAAAATTGGCTATTAAGCATATATGGAATTTCAATTAATAATAATACTAATAATAACCTATAAAATAATCAATTGTTTATTAATTATTTAATAAATAGAAAATTAAGAAAGTCATTAATATCAATGGCAATAATAATAATAATAATAATAAATTTGATTATTATTTTTTTTGTTGTTGCAGATCATTAATTTTATTTACGTGTAGATGTGTTTGCGCTTGTTTTAAAAGGTTTTAATTTGTTCTTTATGGACATTTTACCTTTGATGAATGTAACACACATACACACGCACACATACACACGCACACATACACACGCACACACATAAACACACAGACACACACACACACACGTATACACACACATTACACAGACACAAACATACGCGTATAAGTTTCAGTTTTGCGATGTTAAAAAAATGAAAAAGATTCAATGTGTTTATTTTTTTTTTTTTTTTTTTGATGAAGGAAATAACTTAAATCAAAATGAGTGAGAACGAACGAATGATAAAGACGATGATGATAAATAACTTAACATGACAAAGCTATAGTAACCACGACACTAATGATGACGATGATGACGAGAATGATTAAAATATACATTTGGTGATAAAAACGATAATAATAATAAATAATGAATGAATGAAAGAATGAATGAATGAAAGAATGAATGAATGAAAGAATGAATGAATGAATGAACGAACGAACGAATGAATGAATGAATAATAAAAACAAACAATTGATTAATTAGTTAATATTAATTCGCAGGCCTTATTCGACAGATGAAACTTATTACAACTTTAAGTACACTTAAGTTACAGTATAATTACAATTAAGTATTTGATTAAGAATACTTTTAGTAGTATTTATTTATTTATGTAAGCACGCGGGTACTAAATTGAGGGCAGGTTCACTCATGGGGAAGACTTATTTTATTTATTCAGTTTATAAAAATCAAATTTTATTATTATTATTGAAAATTATTATTGTTCTCGAAACAATTATTCTAAATTTTATATTGATAGAACGAGCTGTTGACATAATATAAAGCGACAGACAGACAGAGGAACAAACAAACAGACAGACATACAAATAGAAAAACAGACACACAGACATGTCTCTCATCTCACACGTTTCACACACGTACGCACACACACACGCAAGCACGCACACGTGTGTGTGTGTATAAACATAAACCCTACTTAAACGTTAAAAACCAGACATATTCAACAAAGACAAACATGATGATCATTTCGTAACAAAACCTGAATAACAACATGTATGGTATACAACAGCAGCAGCAGCAACAACAACAACAACAAATAAGAAGAAAAACTAAGAAAAAAAATAAGAAGAAAAATAAGAAGAAAACAAAAATATCGTTATCAGCACATCGAGATAGCGCTGCTTTTGCAATGAAAGTTTTTTCAAATTAGTTAAAATCATAACAATTTTAATTGACAACTCAAACACTTAATATTTTTTTATGTCTCTCTCTCCCCTCCCTCTTTCTCTCTTTTTCTATCTTTTCTCTTATTTCTATCTATTGTTCTTACCCTCTTCCTCTCTTTTTTTCTATCTCTTACTTTCTCCTCTTCTTTCTCGATCTTCTCTCTTCTTTCTTTCTTTCTCTCTATCTTTCTATCTCTCTCTCTCTCTCTCACTTCCTCAATTTCTTCCCTTTCGTTATTTTCATCCTTCAATATAGATTTATTATCTGGTTTAAAAGTTAAATAGTCCATGCCCTATCTTATGACTAACTATCAATGAAATGAAATTAAAGCAGAACCAAAAAATCATCGAAAGAATAAAAATAATAATTTCACTAAGAAAACAATAATAATAAAAACAATAATAATAAAAACAATTAATATTAACAATTAATATAATAATAATAATAATAATAACCACAGCCATAAGTAGCAATATTATGAAACAAACACAAACTGTTCATATTTAACAGTGAAGGGAAATAAAATACGCTGCATAGACCAATAGAAGCATATTAATATTAACCTTTTAAGAAACATGAGTAACTAAGTGTGTGTCTGTTTGTCTGTGTGTGTGTGTGTCTGTGTGTGCACGCGTTTTATCTGATATATCGTAGTGAATTAACGTCTATGTATGCACGCTTGCAGGTTTATCTGATATATCGAAGTTCGTTTAAGATAATTCTTGAGTGTTTGTAATGGTTTGCTTAGCTTATAACGTTTGTTTTTGCTTATAACGTTTTATTTTTGTGTTTGTTAAGTGTTGATGTGTGTTTGTTTGTGTGTGTGTGTATGTGTGTGTGTGTGTGTGTGTGTGTGTGCGTGAAACATTGTTTCTGTAAATGAAGTTATGAAAATTGATGGTTATATGATATATGATTAATATAAAGAGATATCACGTCTAAAAATTTAATTTCACAATGAAAGTATGCAATCAGATAAGAATAAAATCCTACACGCATATATGTGGCTATCTTTGTTGGATTAAAATACAAATAAATACATTCATCCTAAAAATTTTGTGAACATGTTAACCATCAAAATTCGAATTGAAATCACACATACACACCACACACGCAACCACACACACACACACACACACACACACACACACACACACACACACACACAAACACATACACACACACAAACAAACACACAGACACACAATTTTTGAGCTCTTGGTCGAAAATATATAGATTAAAGAATTACCATTTTCAAGAATAATAATTTGTATTCCGCGTTAATCAACAAAAATATTTTCACTGTTTGTATCACATGGAGAAACTTGGTAGATAACGAAATGGAAAGGAATCCCACAATTGAATAGGGATGATTGTGACTGATTTATTCATTCACTCATAACTCACTCACTCACGCACTCACTCACTCACTCTTTCATTTACTAACTCATTTATTTATTCACTCATTCCTTCATTCATTCATTTTTTCATTCTTCCAGCCAATCTAATTAATCACAGACGAACATACGACGCATTTACTTATCAAATTTGACAAATCCCCGTTACTAATTTTCAATGAATTTTGGAAGGAGTTTAAACAAAATTTCATTATTTGTTAACGTATGTAGGTAGCTAACCCAAGCTTAGGTATCCATGATTTGAACAACTCAACAGCTCAACATTTAATAATCTTGAAAGAATAACTTAAAACAAATGATTCAATCCATCATCAACCCTTAATAAATAATTTCACCCATCCATCAGGACACCACTCCACTCTCTCCCTTTTCCTCCCACCTGCCCTGTCTGCAAGCCCCCGGGTGCGACCACCAATCGGAAAACCCCTCATACCACATGTTCGGGCGGTCGTCATCTTGGACTAGCGCGCAAACTCTGCACCAAAACTTCGTGTTGATAAACTGACCACTGCCTTTCCAGGCCAGATATTTGTTGTACATCTCTTCATTTCCATCCAGGTAGAGGAGGTAGTTGGCTAGGGATTTGGCGTCGGGGAAGTCCTCGACGGATATGAAGGAATTGGGAGGTGCGGATTTCAGGTAATCCTCTTTCCTGGCTCCCATCACTACTGGCACTACGTTGTTCCTGTTGGCATTTGTTTGTGTGCGTTGTTCGTTGCTTTGTTTGAGTTAAGTTTTTTTTCCGATCTTAATTATAATTAATTTGTTAATTTGTTTATATACTTGTGTGTGTTTTTTATGATTAAAAAATGATCAAATGAAATATATATCTCTAGTATTGTATCTCATTATTAACTTTCCAGAAATTGAACTTCGAAAGCAAATAAAATGTTTTTTTTAATATCATCTTCGTTTATTCGTTTTCTACAAAATACATGAAAATATGTGACAAAACAAAAAAAAAAGTGAAACTTACGACAAGGCATTGAGAAATAACTTCTCGGTGATGTAATAATCACAGTTGGAGTTCTCGAATGATAGATAAAATTTGTATTTATCTGAGAGGATTTGGAAGCAACTTTTCTCGTCGCTTCTGGAGCAGTGTAGGTCGCCACACTGGCCATACACGTCTACAGGAATGTATTGCTTCAACTCATTTACGTAGCCATACCTGAGGTGTAACGTTTGTTTGTTCCGTTTTAATAAATCTACAATTACTTGTAACATTTTTTTTTAGAAATATCAACATAAAACAAACAGTGCCTGTAAATGTACGAAAGTATGTGAAGAAATACATTTAAGTAATGCTTAATACATCGCACACATTAAATACGGTAGGCGTGGGTTACAGCAACATCAGTGCCAGGAACGGCAACCATTAATTACACCATGGAGTTAATGTTAAACTGCTTATTCACAGTACCTGTCGTTATCTGTCATGCAGTTCGAGGCGAACCATGCTACCAAATGCCTTTTCTTGATGAGTGTGTGATTTCTGGCGGAGCTTGCATTTGAAACCGCTGCGTGTGTTGTTTGGATGGTTTTTTTGGTGTAGTGATGTCTAATGTTGTGTAATCACACTGATATATGGTTATTGTACATAATGAGATATTAAAACGTTTTCAAAATTCTGTAATAAAAATTGTAGCAATGATGGTAACCAACGATTGAAACAGTTTCAAAAAAAAAGTTTCACTAACATTCATCGAGCACCCGACTGTACTTTTTGATATCAGAATTGCTGACGAATTTGGCGTATGGAGTGACAATGGTAGAATCCCATCTATAAGTTGCAGTCCAGTTTAAATAAGTTTTTACCCCACTAGGCACGAACGAGTTGATCGGAGATTCAAGAATCCTACTCAGCCAAATTTGACCTTTGGGCTTCCTGGCTGGAACTTGCATTGTATCTTGGAGGAAGAAGATGTGAGATACTCTCCGTAGCATGGGATTGTTGGTAATGTAGCAGGATGAGACAGGACACTTGCTGGTTATGAAGGCCTCCCTGCCGAGACCAACATCGCTGGGGATGTCGTAAACGAAGATGAACTTCAGAAGAGAATTCCAATCTGGCTTGTTTTTAACCGACTGAAGTTTGCTGTTGTATATCGGAACTACCGATTTCTTGAGACCCTGCCACATAATGGAGGAAGCGTCTTTTTTTGAAATTAATCTCTGGGCGGTTTTGTTGAATTCACTTTTTAAATAATCGTCCAATTTGATATCCAAGTATTGTGGCATTGAGTTGGTAGTTTTTTCCAATCGACCAGTGAGTTTGAGAGTCTTGAGTTTTGAGGCATAAGATTTAGGCACGTAGTTCATTTGTTCTAAAATTCCGTCTTCTTGAGAAAAGTTTTTGAAATTTTTTCTATCAACTTTCTTATGAAACCAGATGTAATTTTGAGTGTTTCGACTTTGGGAGTGAATGATTAAATATTTTTTCCTTAGCTCTTCGTTGTCTGTTGTGTTTATGTTATCTTTGTAACGGTAACCACCAAAGACGTTTCTGAAGTTATTAAAATTGAAATTTGCGGAATCGGTGACAACTCGAAATAAAGGCACAGTAGAAGGAAGCGTTGGAGTTGTGCGGACTATCTTGTTGACCTTCCTCTTCGAATCACTATTTGTTTTCTTGCTGTCATTTGCAGCCTGTCGAATCGCTATTAAACGTACATTTTTTGCATTTAACTTGTTACCCGCGAGGTTATATTTCGCCAACTTTTCATCTAGACTTTGAAATCGTTTCCTGTTCCGCGGATCATTTTCCTCCATCAGAGCGATCTCATTCGGGAGTGATTGCAAGTGATCCTGATCGATTTGAAGTTCTTCCGGAAATATTCTCTCCAGATTTGTGTCAGATCCATCGTCAAATTTTTTGCCTTTCTCGTTCAAACTTACGAACGTCAGAATATTAGTCGTAACGCTTACAATCAAGATGGCGTAAACGATGTAACTTTTTTTAACATGTGAGATCTTTATAGCTACTTCTGTTATCATTTTAGACGTTCATACGCAAAATTCATTGTTGTTATTAATTCTTCATTGGCAATTCATAATATCAGACAGAACTCCGGATATGAATTTTTTCTTTGAAACTATTGTTTGCTTCTTTAATATCCAGATTTATAACCAGACTAAATTTTAAAATTTTGTTACATTCTCTTAACACATTAATTACTTTATGCTAAAACAAAACAATCTACTAGAAAATACCACAAAAATAATTTTCATTATAAAAATTTCTTTTCGTGAGAAACTTAATTCAACTAAAGAACTTTAAATAGTATCAAAATTCCAAATTATATATCCAAATATGTATCTATCCATCCATCTATATTCAATCATCTATCTATCTATCTATCAACCTACCTATTTATCCATCTATATATCCATCCATTTATCTTTCTATCCATTTATTACTATAATTAACATGGCTGGATGGAAGGCACCATTGTATCGATGACGACATGAGACCAGGTGAGTTGAGTAGGCTGTGCAATGTGCATACATGTATGCACCTATGTGTGCGTATGTGTGTGTGTGTGTTTGTGTGTGTGATGACGTTTTATGTATTTATTTACACCTGTAGCAGTATTTCCTCTCTTTATCTTTTCGTCTCTCTATTAACAAGCCACCTGAAAATTAGTTGCAACAAATCAATGTTTGACTATTTTCAATTGGATTGAAATTCTTCATACATACGTAGATGATACGATGTGAATTAACTTATTAACTAACCACCGAACGAACGAACGAACGAACGAACGAAAGAACAAAGAAATGCTTCGCATACATTCTACGATGTTTTTGTACATTAGTATTGTATGCAGATCGTGAGAGAACAAGTTATTGAATTCATTTAAAAGAAGAAAAAAATGCTAGCCACAAAACTGAGTGAGTAAATGAATGAATGAATAAATGAATGAGTGAGTGAAAGAGTGTGTGAGTGAATAAGTGAATGAATGAATGAATGAATGAACGAACGAACGAACGAAAGAACGAATGAATGGATGGATGAAAAAAATAAACGAACGAATCAACGATTGAGTGAATGAATGTATGAACAAAAAAATGAATGTATGAATAAACAATTGGATATATAAACAAAGAACAAAAGAAATAAATAACGAATAACAATGATCAAAATTGATATAAATATTCCATACATAACAATATTAATAATTAAAAGAAAGACAAACAATATTAGAAAATGATCTTTCCTTTCGGAAGATTCTACCATGCTAACTTTTTATCTGTAAGCAAAACTAACTGAAAAGAAGTAAGATGGATTTTTTATTTCTCGTTATGCAGCAAATGTAGATGTTTCAAATCGCTGTACTATATATAATATTTGCTATGTTGACGGCTGTTTAAGTTTAGATGAATTAATAAATGGACGGAGGAATGATTGAATGAATGATTGATTGGATATTTGAATGATATAATAATTAATAAATATAATAATAAATAGGTAAATGAATTAATGAATATATTGAATGATATAATAATTAATAAATATAATAATAAATAGGTAAATGAATTAATGTAAAATTAATGAATTAATAATTTAAAGAATGATTGAATAGATCAATGTAGAAATGAATCAATAAAGAAATAAACAAAGCAAAACTAGGAACTAAATATTTAAAAAAAAAACTTCCATGCAATTTGCTATAGAAAACATGTTCATCAGCAAAGCAACTAAACAACCTGTCGTGAAACAATCTTCCCCATCCCAACAAACTAACAACAATAATGTTGTTGCTCTAGATAAATATAATTTACTCCGTGATATCAAATCATAAAAAAGATGCAAACGACATGCAGACGACCAACAACTTGACAAACGAAGGAACGAATGAACGGATGAACGAACAAATGAACAGACGATCGATCGAACGAACGAACGAACATACAAACAAGCATTTTATAGCGAATCGATATGCAAGAATAACTTATGATGAAATAAAAGACTTTCGATAGAGTGGATACATTTAAAAATTGTTGTTCATAACTGAACAACATTAGCATAAACTGTTACTTCATCAAACTGCCAGTAAACATTAAATTTGAAATTAGCTACAAATCAGACATACAAAACATACAAATATACAAGACATACAAAAAGTAATAACTGCATGAGTATATAAACTATGTAATCAAAAAACATGCAAAAATGCGGAC